GAGCGGGGCGGGGTGGGGCGGGGCCAGCCGGCCCCGTCACTAGCGACCTCCGTGGCCACTTCTTGGCTTCCGAAATGCACCTCTGACACAGGGGGGTCTGCTTGCAGGGCCTCTCGGGTGGCCGGCCCTGGCGCCTCCGGTGAGGCCCTCCCAGGGACCGTGTGGTATGGGGCGTGTGGATGTGCAACTGTCCCTCCCCGGGAAGCCTGGCTGGGGCCCTGTTAGCGTCCGGTCCTCTGCTTGGAGCATTGTTGTCCCCCACCAGTGTGTTCACAGGGGTGAATGAGGTTCCTGCATGGCCATCGGGTGGGGCCCGGCTCCCTCGTGTGGTTGTTTTCCAGGACCACACATAGCGTGGTTTTAGGGGGTGCTCACACCGTCCAAGGAACTGGCGGAGAGTACTCGGCGTCAACTGCAGCCTGAGGCATTGACACTGGGGCTGCTGTCCCAGGACCAGGGGCCTCGCTGGGGTCCCGAGGCCTGTGCTGGGTGTGGGAAGACTGAGGAGACCACACCAGGTCCAGGTGCCCACACAGGGCAGGGCCAGGCAGGCCCTCGGTCTTTGGGGGGGAACAAGGCCGGCTCTCCCTGTGGGGTGGGGCGCTCCCAGGAGGGCCACCGTGGGGCGCTCTTCAGACAGCAGCCCTGTGGCTGGGGCTGGGCGAGGTCCTGGGGAGGCCTGCCTGTGGCTGTGGAGAGCGTTGGAGGGAGCTGTGCCCGGTGCAGAGGGGTAAGCTCTGCTTTAGGCTTTGTCTTCTTTTTGTGCTTTGAGAAGCAGACAGCTTCCGCTGCGTGGCGGGTAGAGGTGTCGTGTGGTGTGCGTGGTCCCTTGAGCTTGGGGAGGTCTGATTCCTGGGAGTTGGGGGCCAGGCCCTGTGTGGAGGGCTGTGTTGGACTCTAGAAGGCTCCACAGGCACAACCAAGGTAGGGTGTGTGGGGTCAGCGCGTCACGGTGGCCTTGGGCCCTACTGCCGGGCAGAGTGATGAGCGAGCCCGGGGGCCTCGTCTTTTGGGACAGCAGGGCCACATGCAGCCTCCCTCAGCTCCTGGGGGGGTCGAGTGCTTGCCCAAGTGAGGGTTTGGGGTGCATGGCGGGGCCTCGGCCCAGGGCATAGCTAGTAGGGCTGTTGGTCACAAGGCTTGTGGTTGCTATGCCACGGGGGTAGGTACCTGCTCTGAGTGACTAGAGAGACTGGTTGCTGCTCCATAGCCCACGGACACCCCAGCATGGACGCCAGCTCAGCCCACGAGGTCGGCGGTGGCCACATGGAGACACCGGCCCCCCAGAGCGCAGCCTTTCAGGAAAAGCTGACCTGGGACTGGGGACCTGGGTGAACACAGGACTGCCCGTGTTGGCTCAGGTTTCAAGGGCCCCGAGTCTCGCACTACCCTGGTCTGTTAGACCTTCAGTGTTGCCGTCAGGAAACGCCCTGGACCCAGCCCCGGAGCCGCAGGGCAGGCTCGTGCAGACCCTGCAGAGCTGGACGCCAGCTGGAACTGCAGCCGCAGCCTGCTCTTGAGCACCATGCCTACCCCAGGGCCGTAGGGTAAAGGCACAGTGAGAGCAAAGCTGAGGAGTCCTGACTCCCATAACAGGTGCCAGGTCGCTCCATCGCTGAGGAGGTGCTGGCTGTCCCTAAGGGCATGGGGCACTGCTCACGTGTTCTCTGCCGCCCAAGTGCTTTCTTTTGGGGCTATGAACCCTGAAGGAGCAATGGGCGTGATCGCACTGCCATGCCCAACTGGCCGGGTTTGGGTGGAGTCAGTGGCATTGCTGTGAATGGGCTGCTGACCGAGCCGTGAGCACTCTCAGGGATAGAGGCTTCATTTCTGTCCCACCTCTGGTGACAGGTCCGTGCCCCCAGGCCCTTGTGTCCTTGTTTCCAGGCCAGGGCAGTGAGAAGGTTTCAGAACTCAGGGGGCCTCCCCGGGTGTTCCCTGTAAGAGGGTGACTTGGCCCTCCACGGGGTGTGAGCAGGCACCTGGTACCAGGTGTGCTCTGTGCCCTCCGGGACTGTGGGGTCAGCAGGGCAGCAGCCCCAGGGAGCCCAGGACTCTGCTGTGTCACAGGAGGCAGAGCATGGGGCTCCCTCGTCACCCCGCAGCATGCACCAGCGTGGCTGTGGGGGGTCCAGCACCCTGTGTGGTGGGGTGCCCCCCCGAGGTGGTACGCTTGTCCTGTGGCCCCCAGAGCTCAGGAGGTGCTGGCAGCTCTGGGAGCCGAGACCTGATGCCTGGAAGCCCACTGGCAACGGGCAGGCCCTCTGTGCCCTTTGGGAGGCCTCCCGCCACTGGGGTGGAAGGCAGGCGGGGTCAGGGCAGTGCGTCTCCTCCCCCCGGGGTAATTGCCTTTCATCAGGGCAGGCCCCTAAGCCGTTAATGCCAAAGGAATGGGTGTAATGTGGAATGTCAGTGCCGGCCATCTGGCAGCAGAGACGCCGTCGCGGTCGGCTGTTCCCGAGGGCTCCTGCTCTGGCCTCGCCGCCGCTGCAGGGACCTGAGAGCAGCAGAGCTCGGGCCGTCAGCTGAGGTGGGAGCAGGTGCGGGGTCTCCTTGTCCCCACAGCACACACCTGTGCAGCCCCGGCGTGTCTGCTCCAGTGTCCCTGGGATGGTTTAGAGCACCCTGCTCGGTAGGCTGCTCACCGAGGCATGTGTGTGGGCACGTGACACGTGCAAGCATGCATGTGAGCGTGTGTACATAGGCATGTATACTGGGCCAGGTGGGGAGCTGTTCCCCGCCCACCCACTCCTTCGTAGGCCTCCTAAGTGGCGCTCCTCCCTCAGATGGAGTTGGGCAAGACGTGAGAGATGGTGCGGCCAGGTGCTCCAGGCCATGACCAAGCTTGCCGCCTCACCAGGACCAGAGGGGTGTCCCGAGCTAGTGCGTTCAGGAAGATGGACACCTCCCAGGACCAGTAGCTTTGTCCAGGTCTAGGGAACGAGACAGACCCGTCTCCCTGGTTTGCCGGGCAGCCCGACTGGGAGTGTGTCTATGCCTAGGCTGCAGTGAGGGCTCCATGCCAGGCCCGCCCAGGGCAGGGGAGGACGCAGCCGGCAGGGACACTGCCCTGATGCTGATGCGGCCTTGCCCCCTCCAGGACAAGACGGCCTCATTGCCCCATCCCTTGAAAACCTGCTGCTGTGGGTGAACGGGCAGAGCCCCCTGCTGCCGCGTCCCTCGGGATCTCAGGGCCTGGGTTGGCCTCCATGGGCATGGCGGGCCTGGCACAGCTAGAGAGGAAGGAGAGTGCTTGGCTTTTCTGGGGGCTCCCCCAGCTCTAGCCTTTCCACCCTGGGGCTGTCGTCTGCAGACATTTTTATCTTCCCAGCTCCAGCTCTGCGGGGGAGAAAGGGTGTGCCTCCCAGCCCTGGCCGACCAGTTGGCGGGAGGGTAGGGCTGGCCGTGCTCTGGGCTCCGCCTGCGACCAGGCCCCTGGCCGGGCACCTGAGGTCTCAGCGCTCGAGGCCTGTTTCTGTCCGCTGAGTCTCCTCTTCACTCCCTGTGGAAACTTTACACCTGTCACTGTCACCAGCTGTCGAAGACCCCAGTGGGTGTCGTCACATCGGGTTTCCTTTTGGAACTTGTGTGCTGTCCACCCTGGTCCTGCCCACTCGCCAGCACCTGCTCACCTGCGGACCCCGGCTGGGCCCCCAGCATCCTGACCTTCCCTTGGGGCCTGCTTCCCCCCGGCCCCCTGCACCCTGCAGGCCCACACCAGCCCCCGCCTCAGCCCTGGCCGGTCTCTGACCCAGTTTCTTCTTCATTTGCTCGGTACACAACTTCCCGAGGGGACTTCCTAGGGTAGGCTCCTTGCCCCCTCCTCTGGGAGGGCTGAACCGGGACCCCCAGCCTTCGCCAAGCCTCCCATGGCCTGCAGGGACTGAGCACTCTGCTGTTATGACGATGCCACAGCATTACAGAGCTACCCCAGGTCCCTGAAGGGACTGTGCCCCCTGGAGTGCAGTTGGGCGGGGCTCTCCGGGGCACCACCAGCTTAGCTTTGGTGGTCAGCTCAGGATCTGCAGACTGCTGGCCGCCCTCGTTGGAGCCCCGCACTCTCTGCGGTCAGGTGGGAGAGGGAGTGCCCCTTCTTTCCCCATGGCTGTCTGCCGAGGTCCCAGGGCCTGTGACTCAGAGAGGGCGAAGTCCTAGGGCTTGGCCCGTGCCTGGGGTCTGTTCTGGGGTGTGGTGGGGCCTGCTGGCTCCTCCACAGCCTGGGGACACGGAGCACACAGCTGCATTTGCCTCCATGGGGGCTGCCATGTGGCTTTTTTCCCCCCACCCCGATTTGGGAGGTGGGGGGCACAGC